ATAATTTTAATTATTGTATTAATTTAATGAAAATGGATTAAGTTCTTACTTTTGTATTTATATATAATGTATTTTAAAAATTTAATTCAAATCTGGGTACAGCTAAAACACAGAAGTGTTGTTTTAAGAATTTTTACTACTTGAATGACAGAATTCAGATACAGTTTTTAAGACACATTTACCGAAAGTATTCGCTTGCATATGTTAGTGAATCCGAACACATAAAATAGAAATCAGATTGTCTACCAAACATGCCCTAAGTACTCCCAACTTCACTGCCATGTTTTCTGTTCCCAAACACACCATCGTCAAAGACTAATGAGTGGCCGGCTCATAAGTGAACTCATGTCTACCGAACATGCCCTAAAGTATTCCCAACTTCACTGCCATGTTTTCTGTTCTCGAACACCATCGTCAAAGACTTATGAGTGGCTGACTCGTAAGAGAATATTGGAACAAAGAAAATTAGGCCTGGACCCTGTGGCTTAGAGTTAGAAGAGTGGCCTGCTCTTATATCACGTAGCTGAAAGGATTCTTCAATCAGAACACTAGATTATTTGATTTAGAAATGTGAATCAGCGGCTTCAAGTTTAAATCATAATGCCTACAAATTGGAAAGGTAGCTTGTAACCAGGTCTGGAAAGAAGCACCAAAAACAAAAAAAACATCAAGTTCCTCCTGTGGATCTTCCCCTTGCAGAAAACTAAACAGTAACCAATGATCTATTACAAAAGAGGTTCAGGTTCCCAAGTCTATCTAAATTGTCGTATGGGTGAGGAAACATTTAGACCATCTTTTTGACAAGCTTCAAAGCACTCTCCTTGGATATCCATCTTCCGAACGGCAGTGTTATGTGCAAAAGTAGTGGTCAAAACCATCTTTAGGTGGTGCAAACAGGCCAGACTCATTTGGGACTACTTTCTCCAAGCTTTTGGTTGGTAGATTGTCTTCCCTCGTGACATTAGAGACCTTTCGACCTTGTTTGTTGATAATGCGTTCAAGAAAGAAAAGAAGGATCTTTGGCTAAATTTCATCTGTGTGCTTTCTTGTGGTTTTGGTCAGATGCCAACTCTTGTATTATTTTCTCTAGCAAGGAAGAAGGCACTTATTCTCTCATTACTTTCATCATTTTTCTTTCTCTTCATTGGAAGAGTTTTTTTTGTAATCCTCTCAGATAGGATCTCGATTGGTAATTCCTTTGTCATCATTCAAATTTCTATGTTCCTACAAAAAAAAAAAAAAAAAAAAAAAAAAAAAAAAAAAAAAAAAAAAAAAAAAAAAAAAAA